TGTGCAGTGCAGCCATGTCTCTCTGCGTTGGCGTGTAAGTAGCCGTTGAGTCCTTCTGTAAAAACAGACCGAGCTTTCGTTCTCCATGCCCCTGGCCCTCAAGTTGCTAAATAGGCTTGTTGCAATGCTTCTGTGATGGTTCGATTGGGGATTTGTGGCTTGGGAGCTTGAGGTTTATCAGGAGAAGGGATTTTGGGTGTTGGGGTTTCGGATGGTTTCGGGGTTTGGGTTTAGTGGTTTGAGCTTTAAGGAGTCACGGGCTTAGAGGGTGTTGTGAACTTCGTGCAGTGTTTAGTCACGTCTCTACTGTTCTACAGGCTGGTTAAGTTTAGAGGGCTTTGGGCTTGAGGCAGGACATGGGAAGTGCTGCTCCCCTCCAGATAATCTTCTGTAGCAGTCCTGGCGAGCAATTTGTAACCCCTGAGCCCTATAAGCCCTATAAGGTGGAGAATCGTCACCGCCGCCGGAACGTCGGCAGCCTAGCGTCCCAAGTCTACGGAATCTTGCGATTGATGATGACTCACTTTGGGTTGTGGGTTCCCACAAACCTTCACCCCTGAACCCTGAGATACCTGCAGGAGGCGGATTGGTAGTTGTGTTTGCACCCAAGATGACAGTTTTGTCACTTACCGAGGGGTTGTTGGAAACTTGTTGAGTCAAGGATGCCTTTTGGGAATTCAGGGTAGGACCGTCAACAGGCGCTCACGCTTTCCCGAAGCAAGGCTTGTGACAAGCAGTGCCAATGTCGTGGCAGAAACCATGCCAGATTTCCAAGTTGCACATGCTCGGCCTCACACGAAGCGCCTGCCCTGCGCACAATGCACAAATCTGACCATGCCATGAGTTTTCCTTACATCCCCGCCGAGCGATGGACTGTTCAGGACTATGTGACAAGCTGGTCTTGGTCTGTATGCACAGCAGCAGTAGCAACTTCAACATCATCGACGGCAAGAACAGCTAGAACAGGAACAACAGCGGCAGAGAACCCGCAAACCCCGAACACACCGCGACCCCGCGAACATATCACAACATCGACATCAGCATCAGAAAACATCAACATCGCAGGCTCAGCGGCCCCCGCAAAACCGCAGACCACGCAAGCCCCGCATTCCCCCCCCCCCCGCCCCTCAGGACATAAATGGAGAGTATAGGTTTCGGCCATTGAATTGTCGCGCCTAGCCTCTAGCACACGACGTTCTTGTATCTTGAATCATCAGGAGATACATGCATATATATATATATACACATGTATATATATATATATATATAATGCATATATACATAGATGTGTTATTTCTCGTGCCAGGTTGCTTTAGGAAAATCACCCAATCCAATGCAAAGGTGCTCAAGCAGCAGGGGGCGGGGCTTTAGGGCTGAGGGTCTAGTCTTCGCATTATCGGGGCAGGGGATGCCGGGGATTTTACGTCTTAGGGTATGAGTACTGTGTTGTGGGTCGAGCTGGGCAGTAAGGGCAGCAGTCGAGTCCCTTGTGAAAAAACAGGGTTCAGGATAAAGGTTTGGTTGGTCGGGGATAGAGGCTTGAGGGGTTTAGGTTTTCGGGTTAAGGTTGGAAAAGCAGGCTATGATTCTGCATGTTCGCCGACCGGCTTCGGACAGAAATTTGTGCCTGCAGCTGTGGTGGGCCAAAGCCCCATCAGGTTTTAAGCCTACTCCCGTAAACTCTCACGACAGCGTTTAACCAACTTAACCCAGCAAGATTCAATACCTTGAACCCATCAATCCTGTGAAACCTCGCGGTGTGCCGCAACAGGACAAGTTGCTCATCCGAGCTACCTGTACCTTATTCAGATACTGTCTGAGCTTCAACATATCATATGCACAAAGTTACGGTTTTGTCCCTGAGCTGCATGAACCGAGCCGGAACACCCTAAAGCTTGCTCGATCCTACACCACCCGAAGGGCAGCAACCAGTGCCAGTTGACAGTGGTGTACAGTTTAGGGCGGCTTTTGGTTCTCTGCAGGGTCGTCATAGTTTGCCAGTAAAGTTTCAAGTTTAAGAACGCTTTAGGTAGCAATGCAGCACTGTGTTGCCGATGCTTTGGCACGCGCGGCCCAGTCAGCCACTAGCCAAGAGGCCAGAGACCTTCGCTGGGGTTTTGGGGCATCATGTGTGAGGCGGTTTTAGGGTTTAGATGCTCCCTCGCCTATCCGATGCCTTACCGTTACTAAACCCCTTCACCGGATAGTTCCCAATACAGAGATCTCGTAGTTCCTTTGCGATGCAGGCCTTGGGTCAGATCGTCGTCGTAGTCGTAAATGTAGTCGCAGTTGTCGTCGTGGTGGTTGCGGTCGTGATGTATATATGTGTATATATACACACAAATAATATTATAGCAGTTGCATAAACTGCCGCGCACATAAGGTGCTCAACCGAGAAGCTACGTGGCCGAAGCCTGAAAGCCCAATCTCCTAGCCGTTTCGGCCAGTGGGCAGTGTAGCCTACAGTCACACCCGGCCTTCATGGAGGTGGCAGGGAGGCAGAAGCAGCATGCGGAGTTTCTCTTCATCAGGGACAAGAAGTTGATACGTGTCTTTGCAGCTTCCGGGTTTGAAATGGCTTCCATACCCTCGGACATCTTGACGGACGTGCGAGGCCTCAAAAAGCAGCTACATGGTATTTGCGGGTTTCCACGATTCAGGCAGCGTTTGCTGTACAATGCCTCCATTCTGCAGGACCAGATGAAGCTCGATTCCGAGATGGATCTGCAGCTTGTAACACTTCCCTTCGCCCCTGTTCCCATGGTCGACCAGATGAAGCCGTACCTTGCCACCGATTCCGGTGACCTGGACCAGCTAGAGGAGTTTCTTCAAAGACCAATCGATCCGAATCTGCACACGTTTGGAGATCAAGGTGGCCTGACTCTGTTGCTTTATGCAGCATACAAGGGTGGACTGGAGGCTGCAGAAATGCTTCTGGAGGCGGGTGCTGACCCAAACCTACCCGGTGGACCCAACAAGGACACTCCTCTCGGAGTTGCTTGCTGCGCAGGTGGGGGCGGCAAGTTAGGCTTCATGCAAGTATAGTCATGCAAACGGGAGTTTAGGGTAGTCAGGATCATTACAGCAAACAGAGCCGAAACAACCGCGAGGTGATGAGAAGATGATTCGCCTGCTGATGAACGCCGGTGCCGACAGCGACAAGGTGTGTGGTCGTTTTGGCGAGACGCCACGGAGCATTGTGTCCGACAAGGGGCACACAAAGCTCTTGCACCTATTTTAATCGCACTGAATTAGATACAGCACGGCTTGTCAACAAAGTTGACACTGCCTGTTTGCAACAGATGTGCAAACATGCCTCTGCAAGCAAACGTGTAACGTGAGCACAGTCGCAGTCCCGAAAATGACGGAGCCCACAGTCCGTGCTTTTGGGATATGCCGGTTTCGATTCAACCTGCAACCCGAGTGCTTGCTAGAGCAGTTACTCAGATCTCACCACGCATCCACCCTGAGTCCGAGTTCATGAGTACCGAGTACCAGAATCAGAGACGGCCGTAAGCAACTCTAGCACTCTAGCTGTCCTTACTCTATATATAACCCCCATGCGAGTGCGAATGCATGATCCTCCAACAACATCTGTCAACAACAAAAGTTGACACCTCGACGTCATTTAATCGAGTTTGGGGGGTTAGCGAGGGTCCAGGGGTTTTGGACCCATGCTTGTGGGTTTTGGGGTCTGTAGTAGTGTTTATAGTGGGGCGGTCTCTGGATTTCAGAATCGAGCACACCGCGCGAATGCAAAAGGCTTGTTGCAACTGGTGGCACCACCGAAAGCATCTAGCCTTCACCCTACAAACCCTAAACCTCATCTAAGCCCCAAGCTCTGGTCGTAGCCAGGCGGGAGGTTCGAAATTTAAACCTTACTGCGCAGGCACAGTTGCTGCTTGCTGGTGCCCTGCGCAGCTGTGCGGAAGCCGCTGCTGTTTGCGCCACGGGTGTCCTGCACCTCGTCCGGCCGTTGGGGTCTTCTATCTTACAGAATTTCAGATTTTGTTTTGAGTTGGAGGCTCATTTGAGTTCGAGGCTCAACAGGTAGAGTATCTGGGCCATCCAGCTTAGAAGCATGGAAGACTTCCACAGCCTCCGAGATTTTGTAGGCACCTCTTGCAGGCTTGACTCGAGGTTCCAGCATGCAGGGGGCTGCGATAGCCTCGACTTCCAAGGCTTTCAAGATTATTATAGGGTTTTCCTTTAGTCTCCATTGTAGTTCTTATTTTTGGTTTAACCAACTTTATATATTTAGGATCCTATAAAGAAACCCCAAAAAAGGACCTGCAATGGAGACTATAGGTAATTCCCAAAGTTTAGGGTCCTTAATATATCATCAACAGTTAGACCAGGAGGACGAGCTTTTGAAACAACCCATCTCGAAGTTGCCGGGTGCTCTGTAGCGCCCCTGAGCTCCGCCTCCAAAACCGCAACAGCCCCTAAGCCCTAAACCCTAAACTTTGAACCCTAATTAACGGTTTAGGGTTTTGGGGTTTCGGGTTCAGGTTTTAGGGTCGATGCTTAGCATTTGGAGGCCAAGTTAGAGGCCCTAAAGTTGCCCTAAAGCACCCCACAAGTCTCAGATCTCCTCTTGGTTGAACTTTACAGTCACTTTATAGCTTTATCACTTTCAGGATTAGGCTTTTTTGATATTAGGGGTACTAAAAGTTATAATTTTAGCAAGGTAATAAAGAGCAACCCAGTCCTTATACAACCAATCACTGAAGCCCTTGAGCTCCTAAGCCCTAAGCCCTAAACCCCTAAACCTCAAGCCCTAAACCCTAAACCCTAAGCCCTAAACTCTAAACCCTAAACCCTAAACCCTAAACTCTAACTGGAGCCCTAAAGCCTCTAGGCCCCAAAAAGCCTTCAAGATCCCGAAACCCTTCAGTGCCTTAAATCTTAGGGTTTAGAGTTTAGGGGGTTTAGGGGGTTTAGAGTTTAAGGTTAGGGTTTAGGGTTTAGGCTAATGGTTTAGGGTTAGGGTCTAGGGTTTAGGTTTGAGGGTTAGGGGGTTTAGGGGGTTTAGGATTAGGGTTTAGGGTTTAGGGTTAGGGTTTAAGGTTTAGGGTTTACGCTAAGGGTTTAGGGTTAGGGTTTAGGGTTTAGGGTTTGGGGTTTACGGGGTTTAAGGTTCGGGTTTAGGGTTTAGGGTTTGGGGTTTAGGGTTTAGGCTTCGGGTTCAGGGTTAGGGCTTAGAGTTTAGGGTTTGGGGTTTCGGGGGTTTCAGGGGGTTTAGGGGTTTCAGGGGGTTTAGGGGGTTTAGGGTTCAAAGACGACAATCCTGTGGCCTCGAAGGCCGCGTCTCCTTGTGGGCGTGGAGGGTAGCGAGTCGTCGCTGTCCGGGCCCTCCAAGGACGGTTTAGGGTTTAGGGTTGCTATAGGATTTGGCAGGATTGCATAGGTTTTACGGTTTTTATTTGCTGTGTTGTTTATGTATGGGGCCGCTTTTTGCTTGGAGTCTACTGGGGTTGTATCCGGCAGTATGGTGCTTCATATATTTGCTCAGGGTTTTGTACGTCTTGATAAGGTTTCCGTGTCTGAGGGTTCAGAGATCGGCTTCTTGCTGCCCTGGACCTGAAACCGGGTAAATCTTTAACGCCCCAAATCCCCAAGCCTTTATGAACAATCCTTAGAAAAGTACCTAGCCGCACCAATGCCCTAGTAGAACGCTAAACCTGACCTCCCAAGAAGAACCGCTGGGTACGGAGTTCTCTACATTAGGCCCTAGACCCTAAACCCTATAAGGCCCCTTTTTTAGGGAGTGTGCCGCCTTCTTTGGGGTTCCTAAAAAGGGACCGTTGAGTTTAGAGGACTACTCATGGAGGGGTTCAGGGTTTCGGCTTCAGGGCTTTAGAGTTCAGGGTGAGGCTTTCTGCTTCAGGGCCTAGGGTTCAGAGTCTGAGGCTACAGTTTAGGGTCAGGTCAAAGATCAGAGAGCTTGAGGTTGCACACCCTTAAACCCCAAACTGTAACTCCAGAGCCCCGACCTTAACGAGTGACAAGTCTCCACTCTGTGCCCTTCAGACGACTCTGCTTGGCTCCACTCTGACGCAGCTGATGCCGAACTGGCCCCCTCGGTTGCAAGTTAGGGTTTGGCGATATATATATATATAATATATATGTATATGTATATATATATATATATATATAGGAACCCCTTGAAAGGCCGAAGTCCATGTACTTAAATAAGTTTCTACTTAGGCCTTACGGGGTTCCTATATGGGCCTAAGTATGTAGTATTGTATAGGCACATGAAATCTCAGGGCAAGCGTTATTCCTTCGCATTCAGGTGAAGCGTCAAGTGGGCTGCCATGGTTCGAGGGGTTTAGGGTTTAGGGTGTTTTTTTCGGCTTTCTGGTTTAGAGCTTGGGGCTTTTATGGTTTGCAGGGGAGCGGAGCAAGACTCTGGCCACTGCGCATTTGACAGGGCCTTGTTTTGAATGGATATAGGAGCGAGGCTCAATGATTGCTAACATGGCATGCTTATATTCCAACGTGCTCGGCGAGATATTGTAAGCGTGTAGATATCCTCAGCCCCTCAGCGAAAGTATCCTGTCCGTTTTCTTTTGGTCGAACGGTTGCCATCATCTAGCTGTCATTTCGCTCTGTTTCGTCTCTCAGCCGCTAGTTGAGGCCGGGACCCTACCGCAGCTTTTCTGCTGCTGTCTGTTCTGAAAACTCCGAGTGGTAAAGGAAACGATATGACCCTCTGGATTTGCCAGGTATTATACACTTTGGGGAAGCCCTACGCTAAACCCTGAGCCCGAAAGAAATCTTCGATGGTGCGAGGCCCAGGAATCGATACATGCTGACACCCTATATACTGTAACAAGCAAGCTTAAGCAGAAGAAGGAACAGCATACTACATAATGAATATTTATACCCGCAAGGCCTTGAATACCCAGAGCTCTAGGCCGCACTCCTGCGAGGTACATGTCGATGAGGGCCATTGGCCTTAGCTATGGCAAGGACGGATTCGTGAGTTGCATGGGGTTGGGGTCCGGGCGAGTTTAGGGTTTATGATGTGGGAGTTTCCGAAAATAGGGGGCCCTAATCTAGTACCCTAAATAGTAGGATCCTTATTATAAGGACCCCAAAACAAGGTACCCCATATTTTCGGAAACTCACATGTATAGGGGCTTCGGACATGCTTCGGGTTGTCCGGCTTCGGGCTTAGGGTTTCCGGGTGCCCGACATGCAGCCAAGTGGGAACGTGACCATCGCCCTGCTTCCTAAACCTAGATTCTCAAACGACATCATTACGTCATAGGGACCCTTAGGGGTGTAGGGGGGAGCGGGGTCCGGGGTAGGGGGCCTCAAAACCAGTAATAAGGACCTAACAAGGCCCATTTAAGGAAGTATGGTCCCCGACCCCCCTACCCCCTACCCGCCACGAAACATAAGCCCTAAATTAGAATATATCCCAAAGCCCAGGTCCAATTGCCAGGCCCTGACGATATGGCATAGCCCGATCTCGGAAACCCCCAAACAAGACCCCCCAAACCCTACAACACGGAAAGGACAGTCCTTCGCTTCGGATGAGCTTCGACTTCAACTCGGTTTGGAGCTCAGACGCATTCACCCGCAGCCGTATTTCCAGCGGTTCACATCCCCTATATGGACTCATACAATCCGTACAAGAAAACCTGTTCCATTATTGAGGCCCTGAATTTAGGGGCCTTAATAATCAGAATAGGATTTTGGGGCCCATTAGACTATAATTATAATAAGGAACCGCCCAAACTAGTATTGGTAGTTATTCCGGCCCCTACATTATTTGGGACCCTGAACCCTAAACCCTAAACTCCTATTATTAAGGCCCCTATACAACTAAACCCTAAACCCTAAACCCTCAACCCCAACTATTAAGCCCCCTATACAACTAAACCCTAAACCCTAAACCAGGGCACCCCCACAACAACTGAACCTTCGCCCCACTTGCTTTCAGGAATTCGCCTTCGGAGCTGCAGCCTTGTTGGACTCAGGCGGCCTGGTCTTATAGATTTTTGGGGGTTTAGGGGTTAGGGTTTAGGGTTCAGGGTTTAGGATTTAGGGTTTAGGGGTTTAGTGTTTAGGGCTTTAGGGTTCAGGGTTTTGGGGTCCACCTATGGTATCAATTGTCGTTCCCTTTGTTTGGTTTAACCAGTTTTTCGGGGTTTAACTAATAGGGTTTAGGGTTTAGGGTCCCTTATAATATATATATATATATATATAGATAGATAGTATACATAT